TCCCAGTAGTCCTATGTGGTTGGTATTATTGCGGAACCATTTTAAAGATCAGAAAACTGAGGTAGAAATAGATCAAAAAACTTGCTCAAGATTCCACAAGCAAGTAGGTAGGAGAGTGAAGACTCCAACCAGCCGTGTAACTCCCTGTTGCCTCTTCCCTGCCTTGCCATTCCCCTATAAGATGACTTGGTCACATCAACATTCCATTTGAGGTCCAGGTAAATACATACCCTGGGTTAAACAAATTCCAGAAAATAGTCTAACTTGGCTCTGTGTGGGTGTAACCCACCAATCTGGCTTTTTTTTTTTTTTTTTTTTTTGAGACGGAGTCTCGCTGTGCTCCCAGGCTGGAGTGCAGTGGCGTGATCTCGGCTCACTGCAAGCTCCGCCTCCCGGGTTCACGCCATTCTCCCGCCTCAGCCTCCCAAGTAGCTGAGACTACAGGCGCCCGCCACCACGCCCGGCTAGTTTTTTGTATTTTTAGTAGAGACGGGGTTTCACCATGTTAGCCAGGATAGTCTCGATCTCCTGACCTCGTGATCCACCCGCCTCGGCCTCCCAAAGTGCTGGGATTACAGGCTTGAGCCACCGCGCCCGGCCAACCAATCTGGCTTTTTAAAGGCAACAACTATCGGTCACCCTCAAAAGCTCTACCTGGTGGTTCAATAGTTCAGCAGCTCTGCATTGACTGAATTCCTATTGTGTTCCCAGGCATTAAGTTTGACACTGGGGACATCAAAATGGATAACACATGGCCCTGGATCTCAAGGAACCTGCCGCCTGATGGAAAACAAAAGAGAGAGACACACTTAAATGGATGATTTCAGCATAATGAATGTGACAAGAGATACGATAAGGGAATGTATCTGGTATCACCGCTTTTCCAAGGCTTCTCCAGGGGTAAAAAATTACCCAGTGGGTATTTGAAGGAGAAAGTAAATAAAAGAAAATCTACAGAGACCTGTGCTATTTGGTAATATGTGTTATTTTATCTAATCCTTACCACAAAACTAAGAGGGGTATAATTTTATCTCTGTTTTACAAATGGGGAAAGTGAAGGCCAACAGGACCTAAGTTCCCAAGTTCCTACACTCCACAGGAGATGCAGTGTTGAAATCTAGGTTAGCCTGAGTCCAGAGACCACATTTTAGCTACTGTTCCCAAAATAAAGAAGTTGATCCTCTCTTTTGGGAAATTTTCCTTTTCTTGAGTCTTTTGACTGGAACACAAAACACCTGGAATTATGAAAACAGCTAAGAGAAAGGACTAGTTCTTTACAACACGGCGCTTTCTGTCAGTCTCAGGGAAAATGTCTCTTGTCAGCATGGAAAGAAAAGCAAGATTATAGGCAATCACTGTTTCTTTTTTCTGGGAGCTGCTTCTCCCCAAAGCTGACAGTATTGATTCTCGGGGGTTCAGTCACAGTTTCTGGCCCCCTCGAGGTCTGGCTAATCAGCCCCCCATCCTTCCTGCTAAGTCAAGGGCCCAAGGGATGGGCATGTGTCCAAGTAAGGCCAGCCCGAGCTCATCTAGGATTCGACATGTGACTGCTGGGAGAAGAGAGAAGCTCCTTTTGCCCCTCTGGGCATCAAGCCAGGAGGCCTGGAGGTGAGGCAGCGTGTTCAATCATAGAAGCAATCAACCAATCATTCAATCAATTTTCCTGAAGTCCTAAGCTGGGTTAGGTTCAGTTTCTTTTACTTGCCAATGAAACCATCCTAATACTGTGGGGAAGGTCTGAGTACAAAAAGCAAGTTTACAATGTAATTTCAATACTTACGTTCCTTATGTTTATTTCTGATTTTATATGTCATATACTTTATATATATAATATTTTCAAATATATATACAATATATTATATTAAATAGATAATATAGTCATATACAAAATATATAATATATTCATATATAAAATACATATGAGTTTACATGTAGAATACTATATATTTGTGTATTTATTATATTTATTATATTTATTATGTATTATATTTTTACCTATTTCTTATATTTGTTATTTCAATGCATAGAGTTTCAACTGGGCACGATGAATTCTGCCTGTAATCCCAGCACTTTGGGAGGCTAGGATGGGAGTATCTCTTGAGCCCAGGAGTTCAAAACCTTGGGCAACATGAGAAAGACCCTCGTCTCTACAAAAAAAAATTAAAAATTGGCCACGATGGCATGCACCTGTAATCCCAGGTACTTGAGAAAATCCTTTGAGGCCAGGAGTTTGAGGCTGCAGTGAACTATGATTGCACCACCGCACTCCAGTCTGGGCAACAGAGTAAGACCCTGTCTCAAAAAAAAAAAAAAAAAAAAGTTAAGAGTTTTCGAAGTTCTGAGAATTTCAGGCACCCCACCATTTTCAAATGAAACCACACAGACACATGATAAGGTTAAATATTTGGAATCACCATCTTTTTATGTGGCTCCCACAGCAGAGGTTGTTCATGCATTTCATAACTAAGGTCTGGTCCTCATTTTTATTTGTAAGTGACAGAGGATGCAGACAGTAACTTCTGGCTTAGTCACCAGTCCCACTCTATGAGATGTCAGCTGCACATACTTAAGAGTTGTTAAATTTATGTTTCCTCCTGAATTGCCATCTTTGTCTAACAAAACCCATGCTATGATAAGCTACTTCCATTTTTCCTTCTTCTAAAAGGTATTACTCAAAATGGATTTCCCCAGAATTTCACAGTTTTCTAGAATCTGTGACCAAAAGTGGGACTATTTTCCATCTCTATACTGGAGGCCTGGCCTGAAATGTAGGCAGGTTTAGGGGTACCTACATGGGGTGTCATCAGGGCTTTGGGGTTCCTGCCTCACTCCAGGGCCTTAACACCTGCTTCCTGAGGTCTAAGAGTCCTTCCCCATGGAACAATCTCAATTAGAGATGCCTTCAGAATGTAATTCTGCCTGGGAGAGGTGACACATGGATAAATCCACAGTAAGAAACAAATAGGTGAGAGCCGATTCTAATTCTGCAGAGAGAAAGGGTGAAGTGAGAAAAGGTGGACAGAGGCTGCCTGATCCTGGGAGAAGCAGCCCACGAATGGGGAGTGAGGAGGAGGGATTCTGAAGGAGGAGACTGAAAGTATAGGACCTGCCCCCACAGCTCAGCCTGGCCAGCCATGGGATAATCCTGCCTGGGGCTTCCACTAGCCACATGACCTCAGGCAATGCCTTAACTTCTCAGTATCCTCATCTGGAAGTGGAGACAATCATACCTACATCACAGGGTGTTGTATTCCTAAAATCCCTCAAATCTATGGAGTGCGCAACACAATGCATGAGGTTTGCTATCAGTGGACAGAAATTTAATCCCTAAGGATGTCAGGTAAATATTTGTTGAATGTTAGTGAATGGATGAATGAATAATCAGCCCTCCCTCCATTCAGTCAACCAATCAGTAACCTCTTATCTCACATCTGCTTTGAAAACCACCACATTCAACATTCATTCAAGAGATTATTTATTAAATGCATACTATGTGCCTGGAAGTCAGAACCCGCTCCGTAATTTTCCAGGTCCAGCATAAAATGAAAGAGGAGGGTCTTGTCCAAAATTTACTAAGGATTTCAAAATAGAGACAGCAGCGCATGCAGCTGGCCACACCATCAGCATTTTAGGAGCCAGGGACACAACGGTGACAAAATAAACAAGCACTCTTACCCTTGTGGAGTTTACATTCTAGCAAGAAGAGATAGACAATAAACCAAATTGTTTTGTTTATGCAAGACGTATAAACGAATATATTAAATATATATATATAGAATGTTAGAGAGTGATTAGTCCTGGGGGGGGGTGGAAATGGATGAGGAAAATGGGCGAGGGAGTGGAGTAGGGGTGTTATTTGATTTTAATGAGGATGGTCAGAAAGACTCAACTGAGAAGGGGAATCTGAGTGAGAACTGAAAGAGACAAGGGATGAGCTGAGCAGGTATCTGGGGAAAAGGCTTCCTGACAAAGGGAACAGCAAGTGCAAAGGCTCTGCCAGGAGCATGCTCGGTGTGTCCAAGGAAGAGCACGGGGCTTGGAGCAGCACCAGATGAAGTCAAAGAGGTAGAAGGTCTGAAGGACTCCATCCAAGGCTCCCGCGATTGTGCAAGTGACACACAGGGTGGCCTGACACAGAGTGAGACAGAGAGGTGGTGAGAAGTGAGGAGACTCTGGATGTCTTTGGAAGGCAGGGTCAAAGGATTTGCCGACACACTGGATATGGCGTGTGAGCAATAGAGAGGGGTCAAGAAAGCTCCAAAGTTGGGGGACTGAATAAAGCCCAAAGAAGAATAAAGCTGCCATTGCTGAGAGGAGGAGGTGGTGGGGAGGAGCAGCTTTGGGGGCATCACAGAAGCTCGGTTTGGGACACTCATCTTAGCGGTTCAAATAGAGGTACCGAGTAGACAGAGATAGGAATTTCGTTGTTGGGGATGGGGACGTTCAAGCCGGAGGTACAAATGTGGGTGTCATCAACAGCAATGCAGGACATAAAAGGTGTCAACCTAAATAATGACAGAGAGAGACAGGATCTCCACAAAAAGAGCTTATTTGGGAATTGCAGAGGATTGCAACCTGGGAAACATGTGCTGGGATGAATCATAGGCATATCTAAAGAGATTGGGGCTAAAGAAAACTTTTACAGACCAAAAAACGGAGAATTCCATATAAGCTATTTGGAAACAAAGACCATTGATTACAGGAGTTGGCGACGTCGCATTGGTAGAGGCTGCCATTGCTGGGCAAGTGTCCTTAAGCCAATGACTTACCTCGAATCTTGCGTACGTGAGGAGTTCCTGGCATAGTCCCTATCATAGGCATATGTGCAGGGATTCCTGGTGAGAAGTCCTGTTACAGGCATGCGGGTAGGCTCGCTCTTCATGGTCTCCGCCTCCATTTTGTTAGGGTTTGACGGAAGTCACTCCATTCTGATATTGATAACCCCCACAAAGGAAAGGACTCCCAGGAGCTCCAGTTCACCTGGAGAGATGAGCAGGCAGTCACAGATGAGTGCAGGCAAAGAGCTGAAAGAGGGCATCAGAAAATGGACTCCGAATGTAGGGAGTGATATGAGCCAGACATGGAGGAATGGAGCCAGACTGACTAAGAAGAAGCCACAGAAAGACCTGAGCCTGAGCAGCGACCCCAGGGCATCTCGCGGAATTTGCCTGTCCATTCTACCTGCAGAATAACTACCAAATCAACCTGTTTCTCTCCAACGCCACTCCCAGCAGCCCAGGTTCTTCTGCTGTTGCTGAGATGACCACAGGTGGGCTCCCTTCTGCTCTCACTCCCTCCTGAGGCGTCCTCGTCACAGGAGCACCTGTTCTTAGAATGTAAATCATATCTAATCACTCCCTTGTTTAAAACCCACCCTTGGCTTCCACAGGTTTTGCATTTCAGCTAAGGAAAATCACGTGAAAACTTTTCAAGGCAGTGGGGCTCCAACAGGCTGTTGAAAATCCACCGGAGGGCAACAATAAGCCTCGTTACTCCAGGCAAAAGGAATCATGGAAATCAGCATTTCTCAAGCTTCTTTTGGCCAAAACCCACAATAATAAATATGTTTTATACCCACACGCTGTAACAATCATTACCCTAACTATACAAATTCACTTTTTAAAAATGCTATTCTGTTGTACATCATTTCATTACAATTTTTTGTAATGCTGGCCACAATAAACTCCATTGATTTCACCAGCCATTAATGTGTTGCAATCTGTGTTGTGTTGGTAGTAAAAGGCAAGGAATTAGGATGACCTGTAGTGGAATCAGTGACTTAGCCAGGTGAATCAGTCTAGCTAATAACAGCTCATATTCATTTGAACAAGTCCTATGTGCCAAGCATTTTGCCATTACTTAGGTACAATATTACATTTATTCCTCAAAATAAACCCTTAGTGTTAGGCAATGTTATACTTATTTTACAGTTGAAGTCTTCTGAGGTTTAAGAAAATTAAAGTCCTTTGGACATGATCACCAGGTAAGAAGTAGAATTTGAGTTAAGCAGTCTGATTCCAGATCCTCAGCTCTGGTCCCACACCAGGGACTAGAGGGGAAAAAGATGAGACATCAGTCTGGAACCGGACATCTAAAGATCTTATATACCCATCTAAAGGGCATTGATTCTTTTTATTTTTAGTTGATATGCAATAATTGTACATGTTTGTGGGACACAGAGTGGTATTTGGATATATGTGTACAATGTATAATGATCAAATCAGGGTAATTAGCATATCCATCACCTTGAACATTTATCATTTTTTTGTGTTGTGAACAATCAAAATCCTCTCTTTTAGGCTGAGCACAGTGGCTCATGCCTATAATTCTAGCACTTTGGGAGGCCGAGGTGGGTGGATCACGAGGTCAGGATATCAAGACCATCCTGGCCAGCATGGTGAAACCCAATCTCTATTAAAATACAAAAAATTAGCCAGGCGTGGTGATGCATGCTGGTAGTCTCAGCTACTCAGGAGGCTGAGGCAGGGGAATTGCTTGAACCCGGGAGGTGGAGATTGCAGTGAGCCAAGATCATGCCACTGCACTCCAGCCTGGGCAATAAAGCGAGACACTGTCTTAAAACATGTATATAGTAATAATCGCTACAGAGCTGCAGAGGCACAAGAGGCTGAGGCACAAGAATTGCTTAAACTCAGGAGGCAGAAGTTGCAGTAAGCTGAGATCACTCCCCTTCACTCCAGCCTGGGTGACAGGGTAAGACTCTGTCTCAAAAAAAAAAAAAAAAAATTCTCTCTTCCAGCTTTTTGAACATGTACATTGAATTATTGTTAACTACATTCACCCTAAAGTGCTACAGAACACTAGAATTATCCCTCCCATCTTGCCGTAACTTGTATCCATTAGCCAATCTTTCCTTTCCTCCTCTAGAGGACTAGAATATTTATGTAAGAAATCATCCAATCACCTTTTATTATTATTATGAATATTTCAAACATAGCAAGTAACAGAATTAACTCACAGGTATCTACCACTTGATTCTATCATTTCATCATATTTGCTTTATATTGTTTCCTTTTTTAACCTATGTCATATTTAAATTAGCTTTCTGTAGACAGTTTATATTTGAGTCTTTTTTATCCAATCTGACTATCTCTTTTTTTAGCAGTATGTTTAGATCATTTACATTTAATGTAATTATTGGTATGGTTGAATTTATATCTATTATTTTATTATGTGGTTTCTGTTTGTCCTCTATGTGTTTTGGTTCTGTTTCATTGTTCCTACCTTCTTTTGAATTACTTAAAGTTTTTAGTATTTCATTTTAATGTATCTATTGGCTCTTTTGGCAATATCTCTTTGTGTATGTGTGTGTGTAGCGACTGTTCTAGATATTGCAATATGCATTCCTAGTCTTTTACAGTCTACTTCAAGTTACTATTTTACCAATTCAAAGTAAAATGTAGGAGCCTGACAAACATATACATACTTTTACCCTCCCCCTTTATGTTATAGCTGTTATGTTTATATCTATATACATTGAGAACCTCACCAACGTTACGAGTTTTGCCTTCAACAGCTGTAAATATTTAAAGAATTTAAATGGATAAAAATAGGGTATTTTATTTAGCCCAATATTTACCATTTCCATTGCTCTTCCTTCATTCCTGAGGGTATCATTTACCTTCAGCCTGTAAGTCTGTCTTTGGTATTTATTTTAGAGCAGGTTTAATATCAAAGAATTCTCTCACTTTTTCTTAATCTGAGAATGTCTTTATTTTACCATCATTCTGGAAGGATATTTTTTTCTGAATATAGCATTCTGGGTTAAAAGCTCCTTTCTTTAAGCACTTTAAAAATGTTATTCTACTGTCTTCTGGCCTCCATGGTTTTTGGTGAGAAATACTCAGTCATATGAATCATTGTTCCCCTATATATAATGTGTTACTTATTTCTGGCTGCTTTCAAGATTTTTCCATTATACCTGGTTTTCAACAGTGTGTGATGCATCTGGACATGATTTCCTTTTAGTTTATTCCATTTGAGACTTGCCGAGCTTCTTACATCTACAAATTTATGTTTTGCCCAAATGTAAGACATTTTCAGCCGTTAATTCTTCAAATATATATTTTTTCCTAATCCAATCTCCTTTCTCTTTCCTTTTGGTGCTACAAGAACAAGAATGTCAGACCTTTTGGTCTTATATCACAGGCCATTGAGAGTCTATTAATTTTTTTCAATCATTTTTTTTCTCTGTCCTTTAGACCAGATAATTTTTATAGATACATCTTCAAGTTCACTGACTCCTCTGCCATCTCCATTCGCTATTAAGCCCATTCAATGAATTTTGTTTTCAGATATTATAATTTTCACTTTCAAAAGTTGTATTGTATTTTTATAACAGTTTCTATTTCTTTGCCAAACACTTTTTTCTTTCCATCTTAAGGTGTTTACCTTTACCTCGTGGGCTTGGTTACAACAGCTAAAGTATTTGTCTGATAACTTCAGCATCTGGGCCGTCTCAGGATTAACATAATCTATTGCCTTTTCCATTGAAAAATAATCACATTTTCCTGGTTCTTTATGTGTCAAGTAAGTTTGGATTGTATCTCGTACATTTCTAATATTACTCCGTGAAATTCTAGATTCTCCTTGTAAAACTTCTAGAGAATGTTGGTTCCGTTTTGTTTAGCAGGCCGTCAACCCTGCTGTGTTGAGATCACAGGTTCTGTCTTGCCTTCTGTTTGCAGGGTTCTAGTGTCAGGTCAGTTGTGAAAACCTTTGCAGTAGTGCTTATCGGTCTGTCCTGGGTATATGCAACTTCAGGCTGAACCCAAGATTTGTGTTGGTCCATACACAGAGCTAAGGAATCCCTCTTCTCCAGCATTTCCCCTACTCCAGGAGCCCCCAGTCCCTGGGCCATGGACCGGTACAGGTCCATGGCCTGTTAGGAACCAGGCAGCACAGCAGAAGGTGAGCTGTGGGCAAGCAAGCAAAGCTTCGTCTGTATTTACAGCCACTCCCCATCGCTCGTGTTACTGCCTGATCCCCGCCACCTGTCAGATCAGCAGAGCCATCAGATTCTTATAGGGGCACAAACCCTGTTGTGAACTGCGCATGCGAGGGATCTAGGTTGTGTGCTCCTTATGAGAATCTAATGCCTGATGATCTGTCACTGTCCCCCATCACCCCCAGATGGAACCGTCTAGTTACAGGAAAACAAGCGCAGCACTCCCACTGATTCTACCTTATGGTGAGTTGCATAATTATTTCATTATATGTTACAATGTAATAACAATAGAAATAAAAGGGCACAATAAATGTAATGCACTTGAATCATCCTGAAACATCCCCCTACCCAGGTTCATGGACAAATTGTCTTCCATGAAACTGGTCCCTGGTGCCAAAAAGGTTGGGAACTGCTGCCCTGTTATCTAGTTCCCAGGGATCCATTTTCTCAGTCCTCTGGCCAGAAATACAGGGTTTTTCTCAGGATTTTAGGTCCACAACTAGGCTGCCCTCAGATCAAAGTTGGGAAATAGAAGGGGGGAAATGAGAAATTCAGTTCTGAACAGTTCATTCTTCAAGTTTTGACTCCTTTCCTCAGACTGCATGCTATGACTTTTCCAAGTCTTAAGAATTTTCTGCTTTTAAAAGTTTTAGTTATAAGCAGTGGGAGAGAGAGAGAGACTTAGAGGTTAGACCCCTTCTGGATCAGGACAGGAAGCTGATCTTTCATGTAAGGTTGTTTTAAGCACTACAGATACCATTGAGGCCCCTAATATGTCCCTCCCCCATCCCCTTTTCCTCCTTCCAACTGCAGAAAAACCTACAGCCTGAATTTAGGGTCTGTTGCTCCCATGTATTTTATGTTTTTTAAGAAGATAATATCCATGAATATGGTATAGTATCATTTTATAAGTTTTTAAGCTTTACATAAATAACTTCATGATATAAATATCTATAGCGCAATCAAAATCTGTATATTTTCTGTATCTGCTTAGAAAAAATGTATATTCTCTAACTTTTTTGGCAGGTGGAGGCTGTTGTTGTTTGAGACGAAGTCTCGCTCCGTTGCCCAGGCTGGAGTACAGTGGCACAGTCTCGGCTCACTGCAACCTCCACCTCCCAGGTTCAAGCTATTCTCATGCCTCAGCCTCCTGAGTAGCTGAGATTACAGGTGCCCACCACCACACCCAGCTAATTTTTGTATTTTTAGTAGAGCTGGAGTTTCGCCATGTTGGCTAGGCTGGTCTGGAACTCCTGACCTCAAGTGACCTGCCTGCCTTGGCCTCCCAAAGTGCTGGGATTACAGACATAAGCCACTGTACTTGGCCTATTCTCTGATTGTTGAGTGTAAAATTA